CACTCTGCTCACATGGGCATCACTCTGCTCACATGGGCATCACTCTGCTCACATGGGCATCACTCTGCTCACATGGGCCCCACGCTGCTCACATGGGCACCACGCTGCTCACATGGGCACCACGCTGCTCACATGGGCATCACTCTGCTCACATGGGCACCACGCTGCTCACATGGGCAGGTCTTTGGTCCAGATAGTTCACTCCAAAGCTTGACATTCGTTTTTAAATCTCTCTCCCTCACCAGCCTGCAAATGTCCTAGGTACAGGAGCTGTGTGTGGCTCATTCACCTTTGAATCCTTATTTGTCTGAAGGTCAGCTCAGTGTGTGGGGCAGAAGCGACACTCAGTACATAGACAGAAGGAATGGTGACCTGACAGACCCTGGAACCAAGGCTGCTGAGGTCACAACATCTCAGAGTGACCGTAGCTCTGGGGAAGCCATCGCTGAGGTTAGTCTCTCTCTCTATGGCAGTCACATGTCTGGACCAGATACATGATTTGGTTGCTCCCTACAACCACTGCATTCTCCACTTTCTCCAGCTGCTCACACAGGGGAGTTTTGACCCTGCAGACTCCAGCTTGCCTAATTCTGAACCAAAGCAGACAGAAGCAGCCACGGGGCCAAAGTTTCAGCCACAAGGCCTGACATCCAACTTCCAGCCTTGGTTTGGAATGCGTGTTAAGCTTTGTCCAAGACACTTTCCCTTCCGAGCTGTGCCAAGGCTTCTTTTGTTTTTCCCATAAAGCTCTTTGGGCATCCATATTGCCTAGGTCACCATTGGAGCAACCCCTCATTATAAATCAAATGGTGAAGCAGCCAATGAACTGCACAACTGTGTGTGTGTGTGTGTGTGTGTGTGTGTGTGTGTGTGTGTGTGTGTGCGCGCGTGCGCGCACGCATGTATACAGATATATGCAAGTTCCTTTAAAAGGTCAGAAGAGGGCACTGAATATCCTGGAGCTGATATTACAAATGGTTGTGAGCCACTTAGTGTAGGAGCTGGAAACTGAACCCTGGTCCTCTGCAAGAGCAACAAGCACTCTTCACTGCTGATCCATCTCTCCAGGCCCTGTGCACCTTTTCATAGCTTAGCTCTGCTATCCATCCAACAGGAATACAAATTGAAAATTCAGCTGTCACACCAATAAGTGCTATGATTATATATATATGTGTGTATATATATATATATATATATATATATATATATATATATACATAATTGTGTGTGTGCATGTGCATGTATGTGTGTGTTTATGGGAATGAAACCCGGGGCCTTGTACATGCTATTCAAGCATTCTATCACTGAGCTAGCTGTATTTCCAGCCAAGGCTTTTCATTCTGGAGATGTAGGCACAGAACATTTCTACAATCTTAGTTCTAAGAACTAATTATGAGATCTAGAGTCATTCTTATTTAATCTTTTGGAGTTAGTCCAAGCTCTTGAAAAACTATGATTGACAAGACTTAGTTGCAGTACTTACTCCATGGTACATATAGACACCTAGGGCATAGAAAAATCCCACAACACCAATACAGGCCAGGAACACCATGAACTTGAAGGCATCATTATACAGCTTGAAGTTCAGAGGTCGAGGGTAGAGGATGGATCTCACCAAGTCCCCTTTTGCTGTATTATAACCTAGGAAGATAATCACAAAGGGATAAAGTCTCCACTTCTTTCCAAACTTATGTGGTCATGCCACTGGAGTCCAAGAGTGGCCATGGCCATGCCACTGGGGTCAATATGGAAGTGGCATTGCTCTGACCTAACAGTGTATTTGCCTTCCTTGTCCAAAGTCACAGAGAGCAATCAGGTACATTGCCTCAACCCTGTTTAATTCCTCTTGTTCTGGGAGGAACAGAGTACAACCATCTATTCATCTGCAGAGTTAAGAAAAACCGGACTTGTAAGTTGGAAACTGTGACCAGAGAAGATGAGATGCCAAGAGAAAACTTTAAAGCAGGTATGTGTTGAAAGCAGAAACAAGTTAGAAAAGAACTGAAAATTTAAAGAAGCAGAAACAGAAGGCATAGGCGAGTGATTTCTTTAAAATATAACCTCACGGGCTTTTCATCGTGGCTTTCTTGTGTTCTAAAGCTTTCCAAGGCACTGACTTCCTTAGACCAAAGCTCAAAGTCCTAGACACAGTACTGAAAGCCCTCTTCAACTTCATCTACTTCTATCTTGATAGACTAACTTAACTATTTAATGGTCCCAGAAGACCCTTGCACTTTCTATGTTGTGCCTATCTTTCTAGATGTCATATGATTGGCGAAATGCTCCCTCAGGCTTGGTTTGGTTTCAAATGCCACCTTCTCAAAAAGTGTTTCCTGAATTCCATGTCCACACTTGAACCAGATGTAATTTATTTCCTGCAAATCTTGGTCATATGGCGTCTCTTACCACTCCATAGTTTAGTTAACTGGAAGTTACTGTAAGTACATACCTCTGTCTCTCACACCATATCATAACCTTCCTTAAAGGAACAAATGTTAATTTGTTAACTTATATAGCATTTAATGTATGTTCACTTCTGCCTGACTTGTTGACTAAAATGATCGGCTGGTCTATATTTTAAATATGAGCTAGTTTTATAACTATAAGGTGTGTTTTATTTCTATTTCTTGCTGGACACACTGTTTTCTCTAACACTATTTTCTGGACTCTGGAGAATAGGAGCATAGTTTCTCCTAAGTTGCCATCTAAGCACTTATAAACACTCATAGAAAAGTATAGTCTCTTAATTCAGCTTCTTGCTAAAGTGAAATAGCATTGCTTTATAGGACATTAGACCTTAATTTCTGTTTGGACACCTGGCTGAGGGGTCCCAAAACTTGTTTTAACATAGAAGTCATATTTTAAATTAAAACGGTTTTCAACTAACATAATTGAATAACAGACCAAACTAAAGCATAGCCCCAAAGAGAAAGATGTGGGGGGGGTTTGTCTATGGATGTGTATAGCAGCACAAATACACACTGAGCCAGGGCCAGGTCAAGGGAGACCTTGGTTGTGTAATTTCATGTGAGAAAAAGAAAACGACTATAACTATGAAAACATTCTGAGCATGATACGAACGTACAAACTAAGCTAAGGAAATGTGTGTCTGTGGTGAAAGGCTGAGTAACAGTTTAAAGAGAGATCAGAGCAAAAGCTGAAAGGAAGCAGTCAAAAGAATATTTCTGGTAAGATGCTGTAGACATGAAGTGACGAAGCCTGCCTACATGACAACCGTGACAGAGGAGGCCAGGGGAACCGTGACTCAGCAGGTGGTAGCAGAGTCCTTAGGATTTGATGCCCATTTGGTCTGAAAGAGAAATGTTGAAGATGATGCTAACGGCTGGGCTAGATGCTGATGCTGTTCACAGAGAGGTGATGCAAGACAAGTTCATGTGTAAACCCCTGCTGTGGGATGTCTTTCTGTATGCTATCAATATGTGTTGTTCCCGTTGGTTAAGAAATAAGCTGCTTTGGCCTATGATAAGGCAGCTTAGAAGCAGGAGGGAAATCCAAGGAGAGAGACAGGAAGGAGAAAGGCAGAGTCGGGGGAGAGGCCAGCCTGCTGCCCAAGGAGTAACATGCTAGCAGACTGGTAAAGCCACAGAACACATGGCAAAACATAGATTAATAGAAATGGGTTAATTTAAGATATAAGAGCTAGGTAGCAAGAGGCCTGTCATAGGCCATACAGTTTGTAAATAATATTAAGACCCTGAGTGATTATTTTATAAGTGGCTGCAGGATTGCAGGCCCGGAAGGACTGGAGAAACCTTCTGGCTACAGACCCCTGACTCTAAAGTATCTGCAGAGCACTTGCTATCCAGCAAGCAACTTTCGGAGATGAAAAACCCTTCCTAGTTATTGTGGCTGACATTGCTTTACAGAGAAACACCAAGAGGAAGCATGAAGGAACAAAGAGAAGCCTACAGACACAAGCCTTTAAGGACACTTACAGCATCTATGCATGCCACTCAACACATACAAGGGCTTAACAATGAACATTTAATTTAAGGTAATGGCAACTCAGAATCATAAGGCTCTGGTTAGAAAAGAGTGTAGCTGCTATTACTAGAATATGGCAAACTCCAAAATCCTAAGCAAAATTTCCCACCTCCAATTCTCCCCACCTCCAGCACAGCTTAAATTTAAAAAAGTTGGATCCACTCACCTGTCTGCAGAACAACAGCCCTAACAGGTCCCTGCCCGGATGGCTTGACCTGGATCACTTCTGTTCCACAGAAAAGCACGTGTTTCCGGTAGTCCTCTAAGCTGTGGGTTTTCCAGGGCATGGTGTTCTCCGTGTGAGGCAATGGCGTCTTTGTAACAGGTATACTTTCTCCTAAAGAAGGTTGCATTTTGTTGATTCTGTGTAAACTCAGGTAGTTTTTCAAGACAGGCGCAGGCCAATGTCACACTGTATCACCACAACCATTTTAGCACTCATTCCATGAGTCAAATGGCTGGCTGGTCAGCGATGCCTGTGGTCCATACACTGGTAGGCTTGGTTCCAGTTAAAAATCTTTCCTTAAACTCTGCTTATCACTTCACTATGTGGAATGTGTGGTCTGTTATCATAACTTAATGAGCAGTTAAATTATCACCTAGCCATATCCCAAGCATCCATCATCACCCAGCACTGTTTCAGAAGCTGTAGACATGTTTCCACTTGCCTTTCGTGTGGCCATTTATCCACGCATCCACACATTTTCTTGCTTATTCCACAAATTTCTGTGCCAGAAATAGAGCACTTTTTCTGCTAAGGGCTGGGAATATAATGATAAACAGGACACAGAGGCCTGGTCCTCATAAAGCTCGTGGTCCCAAGCTGAAAAATTATAATCCTTCTACACACTTTCCAGGTGACCCCCAACAAAGCCACCATTCCATTTGTCCAAGCTGGGGTTTCTATTGCTGCATTGAAGCACCATGAGCAAAAAGCAAGTTGGGGGAGGAAAGTGTTGGCTTACACTTCCACAGTGTACTCCATCCTTGAAGGAAGCCAGGACAGGAACTGAAATGGGGCAGGAACCTGAAGGCAGGAACTGAGGCAGAGGCCATGGAGGATGCTGCTTACTGGGCTTGCTCGGTCAGCCTCCTTTCTTATAGATCCCAGGACCACCAAGCCCAGGGATGGCACCACCCACCATGGGTTGGGCCCTCCCCCCATCAATCATCAGTTAAGAAAATCACCTACAGGCTGTCCTTCAGCCCCATATTATAAAAGCACTTTCGTAACTGAAGCGCCTTCCTTTCAGATGGCTTTAGCTATGTCAAGCTGACATAAACTATTAAGAACACCATCATTCCATTTTCTACGAAAAAAAAAAAATTGTTCCCCTTGCCATTGCAAAATAAACCCCAGACTTTCTTTAGATTCCCAAAACCCACCAGAGTTCCAGTGGCCTCCCAGGCTTATCCCCATACAGGCTCCAGCGGAGCAGGGCCCTTTCTGACCCCTCAGCCCACCTCTCAGCACCTCCTACTCTTGGCTGCCACAGTCTCTGTCCCCTTCTCAAGAAAGGTGACATTCTGTAAGACAGAATGTTGGAGGTACAAAGCAAGCAAGCTAAAAGTTCAAAAGAACACATTTCACAGTAAAAAAAAAAATGTGGATAACACTTCCTAGTTCCCAGATTTAAAACATCCTAGAACAAATTAAAAATTCCATCAGTGCTTAGTTAAATGTTCAATTAGCAAAAGAATATGTCATCTTACTAATTTAGAAATGGCATTATATTGATTATATTTACATTTCTTTCTATGAGGGGGAGAACTTTGTCATAAAGAACTTTCTATACTCCTCATTTTACTCTATGGCATATAATAGGTTTTAAAAAATGTATTATCTGCTAAATGTATGTCTGAGTCAAATAAAAGCAATTACTTAGGTTTTTCTATTACTATTCTTTCAAAGCTAGCTTCCTAGCAAAGAGAATGTTTACATTGTAAGGCTTAAGAAACTATAACATTTTATTACAGTCTTGAATATTCTTCAGCATATCCCCTGAGCTGAGCACTGCCCTTATTCCATTTTCCTTAAAACAGTGGCAATGCCCCTCCACTGCGTAGATTTACCAATTGCATCCAAAATGACTCTGTAGGAGAGACAGAACCTTTGGCAAGTCTCCAAATATTGTACCGCACTGTTTTGTAAGTCAGCCCCTGTAATGCGGAGATACTTACAGATTACTTTATGACAAGAAATATTAATCCAGAATATTGCTTTGCCTAATATGATAGTAGCAACTAGTTTTCTTTCATATACCCCAATGAAATTGGAATCAGACAGGCACTGATCAAATGAAGTCACCACGAGATACTGTTACGGAAATGACACTCCAGGCAGATAAATTTACAGAGAATTAACACTCCTCGTGTATTATTAAATCTCTCATGCCTGGGCTTTTCTGGGAAGCCCAAGAAGAGATGAATTCACCTGCAGAAGATTAGGGTGCAAGGAGGGTTATGTTTCAGAAGGAAGTCGTTTGATTGTGCACTCTCAATTACAGAGTTGGCGCCAGGGACCTTGAGACCTCAGCGTCTGTCCAACAGAGAATCTCCCATGTCTCCACGGAGCTGGATGCCACTTCATGCCGACAATGCCAGAAATGCCACATTCTTGTTTATGGCATCACTGGGACCATTGGACAGCGAATGATCTGCCAGTGCAGTCAGCTTTCCTTATCTAACTGATCCCAGCACAGTGCCTGGTACATAAAGGCATTTCAGAAACTCAGATCAAGTAAACAGATGAACATCAAGACAAAGGGGGAACAAGACAAAGAGAAGGAAAAAGCGAGAGAAGGGAGAGGAATAGGTATGATCTACCCATGGCTTACAAGTTCATGTGGCAGGATATCAATTTAGAAAGAATATCAATGCAGAGGAAAAAATGCTGTGCGTCCATCTCAGATCACTGCATCTATCCTAAATGGAGGCTTCAAATCAATCAGCTCTTTCATGAGTAGAGGGAGAAGGAAAATGCTGCCCTCTCTCACATAAGCATCCCCCAGAGAACCAGAAGGCACTGGCTAGAAGCATAGGCTCTGGGGAAGCGACGTGTTGGCTTAAGTGTTTTTCTTCATGAAGAGGTTATTAGGAATGTGTGTCCTTTCCAACTTTCATGTTTTCCATTTGCTCCAGCAACCTTGCCGGCCCTGCTCACTGCTGTATCCCCAGTAGATTTTCTGCTAATAGATTGGTGAAATCAGGGAATGAACAGCCAAATAAGTGTACCCGGATCTCAGAGGCACTACTTTTATCCTGTGTGAATATTGACAATTTATTTCTCCTCCTCTATTGGCCCCGTATTCACCCACCTAAAGAACTTCAGAGTAAATGGAACAGTGTGAAAAATGTTGGTGTAAAACAGCATGTGCAAAAACTAAGAAAATGGTAAGTATGAATGGATTCTCCCCCATCATATGCCCCTTTGTGTCTTGCCTCTTCCCACTTGGGGGAAGCAAGGTCCTGAAGGAGCCATTGCTTCAGGGAAAAGGTACAAGGGACAGGGAAGTTGGAAACTGGCCTCTGAGTCCTGAAAATCCTGTGTAAGTTTGGTCATGGATTCTAGAGACTTCCAGAGAGTAAGAAAGCCTTCCGCTTCCCCATACCATACCTCTCCTGCATTTCCACCTAAATTAGCAGTCCTGAAAGAGCGGAAAGGGGACCCCAAGGGGACTTGTGCACCATGTGTCCCTAAGAAAAGGGACTGCACCTTAGGGGGGCTATGAGAACACTCAATGAAGCCATAGGAACTGGGTGTCAGCCCTCAGCCTCCCAGACTCGGGGAGACTACAACCACAAGAAGACCTGTAACATCCCACTCTGATGTCCTGGAGGACTTGAGTAGCCAGAATGGAGTCAAGAGGAACGGGTGCAAGGTCACTGACCTGCATCAAAATAAACACCAAGCTTCGTTAGGAAAGGAAGTCAAGCTTTTTATAAAGCAGTGACAGCTCAGGAGGAAATTCCGCTGATGGGGGGTGGGGTGCTGTGGGAGGGAACCTGTGTAGAGTAATGGGTGACAAGATCAAAATGGTGACAGCCACTTCCCCGCCTCAGACTCACCTTCTGCACTCAAGTGCCACTTTGTGTTTGGGAACAAGTGCCACCTCCAGTTCTGATTCCATCGCTAATCATTGAGTAGCCCTGGTCTTTGTTCAACTCTGTTCCTTCATTTGTAAGTTGGCATTTTAATGGTGCCTAGCCTAACTTGTTTGACAGCATGATGAAGTGAGATATAAATATTATTTATAAAGCATGTTGCTTTAGGCTACTAGGAGTGTTTACATACTATTTTTACATAAATATCTGTATCTGCAAAGGGTTATTTTGCAAGTGGAAAAAAAAAGATGCATCTGAGTTGCATTTGTGGACACATACCCTAGCACTGACCATATTTCAGCCGGGAATCTGACTCTAACATGATGGCTCTATCTGGATGCTTTCACAGTACGTGTGCCAGTGGGGTCCATTTCCCACACAAAAGGAAGCAGTGCATGCTGGGATTTATGTGCTTTCGAATAAATTAAGAAGACACATAGAGTTAGTTTCATATATATCTCTGTTTCACTGAGTCTGACTCTAAAATGGATCTTTTTTTTTTCAGCACTCAGAATATGCAGATACTGGTGCTGGTGACTTTAGTTTTGCCATAAATGAGCAAAGGAAAAGCCCATTGTCAGTCAAGTTCATTTTAGATCAGTTTTAACTCTCCAAAACACTCTGGCTTTTCCTGGGACTCAGGGCAAACCCTGTAGATGATGAAAGAAGAAGGAACTGCTGTTTCTGTCTTTCCTGAGGTCCCCATGTCATGCTCTCTGTCACCCAGTGAGAGAAGCACTCAAAGGACAGGCACACTCAGGCTGCAGGCACACGCGGGGCAGAGGCCAACCAACATGTTTCTTAGCTGGAGGTCTGCACATTGGGTACCATGGCAACATTCATTCCCACCATCACAAGGCAGGTTGATTTCAGTGCATTAAAGGAGATGGTTTGTAAGTATAGCAAACAGATCTAGGTTTACTACATTCTGTCTCCATTTTAAATTAAGTAGAGTCATTTGTACATATTAAGATCTGCTTATGTTGAACAAATTAGGAGCAGACAGTGGATTTCTGTTACACTCAGGTCATGTTCAAGGTTTGTGTGCACTTCTTCCCAGCCTTCTACCAGAGGGAAGGAGGCAAGTTTAACCATCCATCAGCACAAAGGACAAACAGCTTTTAGCTTCGTGCTTCCAAATAGTCTCTCGTTAAAATGTGCTGCCCGGCATGACTTCCCAAACTAAAGGGCAATTGTATAAATAGCATCTTCCTAGTCGTATAATTATAAAAAGACTTTAAAAACTGTAGGTGAACACTAGAGTCCTCTGAACCACGGTGTGAGAGCCACGGGGGCTGTGAATCTGAAGAACAGAGAAGCAGACTGTTGCCTATGCAAAGGCTCACTGGAACTTTCCAGGGAGACCCAGTTCTAAGGAGTTCCTACCTGTAGAGCACATGGCTAGGCAGATCTCTCCTCCCTTTTGACTGGGACCCAACAATTTTTTTTAGGCTGTGCTTTGTTTTTATGCAGATAGAACTATTCTCAGATTTATGAAGAGACCACATTTCCACCTGCTCACGCGTCCAAACCTCCTTCCATTATCTCCTTCAGGCCACCATTCAGCGACAAACCCCCAGGGGTAGTAAATGTCTCCTCTAGGTTTCTGTTTTGCGGCTTACTGCTATTGTTAACCAGCACTCTCTGCTTGCACGTTCTGCGTCTTTGTTTGAACACAAAGGCAGCGTGGATCTCCCCTATCTACTTCATGTCTCAGTGCAGGGCTTGGTCCCAGCCAAATAGGGAGAGCTGATCTGACTTGCTAATGTTTGGGCTAGCTGTTGGGTAAGGAAGAGGATGCTGGGTGACGGGAGCCTACCTGTGAGCATTCCTTCATTCACCACACAATTCCCATCGATGAGGACAGCATCACAGGGCAATGAAATCTTCCCTGGAAGAATGAGAATATCCCCTGGAACCAGGAGACGGGACTCCAGCTCCTGCAGACCTAGGTGACAGCAAAACTTCCATGACTGTCTTGGCCTTTTCCTGTTTTCTCTTAAGAATTAAAATAACCAAGAACTCCTCCGATCTACTTATTTTCCAGTTGGGCAAGACCTACTCTATCTGTTCACCTGCCCAGGGCCCCTTTCCACTCAACTGAAAATCACCAGGGAATTAGATTAGGAAATTGTTTCTTGGGGCTTAGAAATGGATGAAGAGTAACTAGTTCCTCTTTGGAACCTGGTACCCAGCCAGGCTCCATGCAAAGTAAAAATTTCAGAATATCGGTCAAGAGGGAGGAGTCCCTGGCTGCTACTTGCTCTGTCTGGGCACTGGAATCCTAAGAGCATTTTGAGGTGACATGAGACCTTCTGCTGCTCTCGCTGCAGTTCTTTTTCCTTACACATAACCGTGGCTACGCCACTCCAAGCTAGCTGAGAGCAAATGCCAAGAGTGCAGGCAGTCAACATCAAAAGGCTCCATTCAAGCCTCCCTTCCAGATGCCAGCTTGGAATGTATGAGGCAAGGTCTTTGGGATACAACTGGTTGAAAAAGATAAAGGAGTCTTTAGCCTTCACATGAATATCCAATTGTGTGAAGTATGGAGGGCAGAGGGAATTTGAAGCTGAAATCAATGAAGACGATGATGTGTAGGAGTAGTCTGAGCAAACTTTGGAAGAGGGTGAAGCAAGCCAGGCCTGGGGCTCCAAGCTGGACAGGGCGGTCACTCTCGGGGTTCTACAGATGTGGGGTAGGTATCTGTAGTCTTAGCCTCCTGCAATGTTATGAGTCAGATGCCTCATGCCTCTCCTCATACTTGCAATCCTGGGTTTAGTCAGAAAGAAGTTCCGTCTTTGATAATGAGGACGAATGGTCTGCTGTACAACTGTGGTGCGGAGACCATACACAGCCTGGGCCACTTACCTTTGCCTTTTACTGCGATGGTGACCCGGACTTTGTTGTGGTCCTCCACGAGGTTGTGCAGTTTAATGGATTGCTGCCAACAGAAAGTCAAGGCTTTACCAGCTGGTGGTCTGTATCCTGCCAACCGCCTGATCTAAATACAGTAAAGGATAAACCTGCTGCCATAGCCAAATGACCTGGGCAAACGACCCAGCTTGCACTTGATTTGCTCTTTTTGGTCTTTGAGACAGGCTCTTGCTATGTAGCCCAGGCTGGTCTGGTACTCCGCTATGTAGCCAAGAATGGCTTCAAACTCAAAACAATCTGTCTGCCTTTCTCAGCTTCCAAGTGCTGGGGTTGCAGATACGTTCACCACCCTCAACTTCTGCTTTGGCTTTTGATACTTCAGCTCCTCTGTTCCCACCCATACCCTCCTGACATGACATTAGGAGCAATTCTCCCTGATCATTTAACACAACTTTACTCCTAGGGGGGAAAAAATGATACACAACTACAGAATCCCGGACACAGGTAGCGGAACCAAGGTGGAGAAAGAAGCCTGAGCAGACCATGAGCTTGTCTGAGTTTGCTCTGTAAATGACTGTCCACTGGGAAGAGCAGTCCCTGTTAAACTGCTTGCTCACATTGGGTGAGCTGACAGGCTGGAGTCAAGCCTCTAGGTTTGGAATCCGGATGCTAGCACAAATAAGTCTGTGTGTCTGTCTGACCGCAGTTTGCTCATCTGAAAGGGGAGATAACATAAGCCTTTGGAAGAGGTATTTTAAGCTTCCAGTTAATTAATTCCTTACAAAAACCCTTTGTGCAATAATCACACCATGCTGAGAGTGCCTGAGTGCTTGCAGCTACAAAGGAAGAAGCTCCTGGAAAAACCACAGTGGGACAGCACCTGGAAAGCCTCGCTGAGGTATCCGTTTCTTGAGATATGTCTATCAAAGGTGGAGGAGGTGGAAGAGCGTGTGGAGAGAAAGCAGCCATTCCTAGGATAACAGGGGGCCAGGAAGGCAGAGGCAAGAGGGGATTGGTCCACACACTTCCCATGGTGTGTCAGCATGAGGAAGGGGGCACCAGCAACTGAGGTAAGGGTGGGCTGCAGGGGAAGATTCTGAGGTAAGGGTGGGCTGCTGGGGAAGATTCTGCCGCTTTCCAATGGGTGTCAGAGAACCGGATGTCTCTAAGATGAAGCAAGGCTGGTTCCTGTTGTTGCAATTCAAATTCAAACTTAAAATAAACCAAACGGAACACTTCTTTCTTTTACAGGTTCAATTACTCTGTTCTGTTAATGACTTTTAACGTTACAAATTTTTCCAGACTGATAGTCACCATGCACAGCTGTGTGACTTTCCCCAGAGAGAACATCTGGTTTTAGCCTGAAGTTACCTTTCAGGGTTTAAAGTAGCATTCTGCTGGTGTATTTCACATGCCAGGGATTTATCCCAAGCCTGCAAGGCTTTCATTGGAAAGAAATTCATACAATATTATAAGAAACTCAAATGACTATGTATATAACCACTCATAGTATCAAGCCGCTACTACGTATTGGCCGCTGTGGAAGACCCTTTGGAAAAGCTAGATCTACACAAAAATAAACAAAAATTCTCTCTCTAACATACATATAAACACAGGAGCAAAAGGCTGACATGGAAAACGCCGAAGTCACTTGTCGCAATCACGCCCGTAGGTGGCAAGGAGGGCGACAGTCCCTCAGAGGTCCACTTGACGCCAAGCAGACTCTTAAGTGAGTCCTGGTCACGCTTAAAATAGCTTCCTCTCCCTTTCGGAGCTCTTTACCCTTGCTCAACTCCCTTCTCTTCCTTTCTGCTCGGCAAACTCATTGAGTGGATGCCATGATAATGTCAGCTGAAGAGGATGCTAATCAGCACATTTGGAAGTGGGGAAGCATGAGTTAATGGCGCTTGACGGTAACTCTCAAACCTCATTATGCTGGGAAGCTGGATTTGTTTAGCAGACTTAGCCTTTCGGGAGATCCTGCTTTGCTTCCGTGCCTCTGCTGGGTGGGGCTGGTCCCTAGAACGTTCCGCCCAGCTTGCTATTCGCGAGCTCTTTCTAATCTTTCACGGGAAGCTCTGTAGAAATATGATCTCCCCCGACAAGGATGAGATCTGGGCGCGGGTGGGGGAGTGGGGGTGGGGGGAGATGCAGTGCTCGGCTCCTGGCTCCACACCTGTGCTGGAGCACGGATAACTTCCATGACAGCTACCTGTTGCCCTTTCTCCCCCGTGAGACACATGATTTCCAAGGTGGAGAAGGGGCCCTGCACTCATCCTTGTCCCCAGACTCTGTCACACAGTAGGCCCTCAGCAAAGGTGTGTTTCATAGACCTGGAGTGTTCTACATCTCCCAACATCACAGGGGTAGGCTAATGTAAGCATTCTCTTTGAGCGAATGGTACTCAGAAACCATAAGCATGGGTTTCTATGACAACCAGCCAGCCAGGAGAAGGCAAGCTCTGTGATGTTCGCCATGGCTACAAAGCTCATTGCCTGATTTTCATAGGGCCCCCTCTGGTTTCTACAGTCCCTCTTCAGTGGGACCAGGATCAGTTTCCACAGCTCATTTGCATACAGTTATGACTCCACATCTGCTGCTGGATATCTTTGTGTTTGCTGTGGCTGGATTTTCTCCAGAGATGTGGGAAGCGGTGCATTAACTCGGGTGCCCCAGGGCCCTGCTAGGCCACGACTGAAGGCGGAGCCAGCGGTGAGGGGATATAGTGATACCCTCAGTACTGTGCCAGCAGATGCCCAGCTATACTGTATGCAAATACACCTCAATGTAAACACAGTCTAGGGCTTGCACTCAGCTCTGCCTTACATTCTCCTAACTTCTTAGCAAGTGTTTCTTAGCCTCGGTAATGTAATCTTTCTTCAAGTGGCATGATTTGGGGTAGGGCCATCAGGCAGGAAGATTATCCTTCTTCGCTTTAGTTCAGAAACGTTGAACTCAGCAGAATGACTTAGATGTTCCTTCCTCCACTCCTGCCCGCCTCTTTTCCTCCAAATCTTACCCTTACCTCAAAGTCCACAGGTCAGTTTTGAAAAAACGCGCTCAATGCAAATGTGCAGTACTTCACTGGGAGTCAGGAAACCTGGCCACTGTTTCTCACACGGAGATGAGCAAGTTCCTCTTAGGTGGTGGGAAGCTATTCTATTGCATGTGTCTCATTCAACAAATGTTGTGCCCGACACATGGTTATGATGGCTATAAGGACCTATTGTGAACCAGGAAATCATTAACACTGTTAATGGTTGAGGGCCCATGACGGGAGCTGTGGAGGAAACAGGCTCACTTGGCGTGGCTCTACAAGACGTGTTACAAGTTAGGTCAGTTAAGTTTCGTGAACAAATACCAGCTGCTAATAAGATCAATGTTTGTCTTCTAGTTCCTAGTCTTCTGGAATCCTTTTCAACACTGCCATTAAAGCTCATGTTCCCAGGTGGCTCACTGTTTGGGGGCAAAGTAAATTAAGGATTCTGTTAAGGAGAAGACAGGAATTTTAATTTTTAAATATTTTTTTTAGATTTATTTAATTTTATGTGTGCAGCTATTTTGCCCACATGTATGTATGTATATGCACTGCTTGTGACTTGGTGCTCCTGGGGGCTCGAAGAGGGCGTCAGATTCCATGAACTGTAGTCATGGACGGTTGTAAGTCACGATGTGCATGCTGGGTGCTCTGCCAGGGTAGCCAGCACTCTTAACCACTAAGCCATCTGTCCGGTACTCAGTGTTTAATTTTGATATGGGGTTTAAAATACAGAAATTAAAAAACAAACAAACAAACAAAAAACACCTAACTTTGGATATTGCTTTACAACAGTTTCATCCAGGATTAAAACTTTTCATCTTTCAGGGAAGCTCCTTAAGCAGGAAGGTAAACAACTCAAAACAGCGTCAGGAAGTCCCTGGAACTGACCAGATTCACTAGGCCCCTGTCCTCCAGAGCAAGCGACAAAAGCGGAGATGGCCCCTCAGACAGAGGGAAGCTGAGCTGCAGAAGACTCTGAGACCAGACCAACTGCCGGGAAGAAGCAGAAACCAGCAGAGCTGCCGGGAAGAGGTGTCGACCCGAGTCACTTGGAAAGGACACTGTCCAACCTGTTGAGATGCCTGCAGGCTGTGCAGGGTACTCCAGGTTCCCAGGGTCTGTGAGCTGTCACCCATGCTACGATGGGCCTTGGTGACGCAGCTGCCTTTGAGTAATTGATGATCCTGTAAGTCACCCGAACCAAGCTTGGCTCACCACGTTGGACTTGGTGGTATCTGTACTTTGGTCGATTGTGAGATCCCTACGTAGGGTGAGTAGATGTATGTGTTGCATCCCCCCCACCACCAGGAAATTTTGTCACACAACAGATATGCAGAACAGGAAACCAGAAACCATGGAGGAAAAGAGAAATACATTTGCCTCTGTGTAATCTTTAGAGTATGAAAAAGCCAAAATCAACTAGGAAAGATGGACTAAAAATGACTTTTCCATATATATTGTGGATATGAAAAGCCCTTGAATATAAAAGAAAAATGGAATGCTCAGGTAAATAAAGTATGCCTCCTTTCACTAGCAATCAGTGAGTGCACATCAATTTAAAACACTAAGCACTCAGTGGATGAAAACTTCCACACAGCAATATCTATCACACAGTGCTGGTGAGGATCTGGAGAAATCAATGATCTTGTGTGTTGCTGATAGGAAGAATTATTTCATTTGGAGAAAATTTCACTGCAACATCTATTAAAACTTAAATCATATCTATCCTTGGATCTAGCCGCCTGGCTTTTGGTTGCCATACTAAAAAGAAACACAAAGCAGTGTCTTGTGTCTTGGTTAATATGTGATTTGAGTCACTGGCCCTCCCCCATCTTAGCAGTAAGACTGTCTGTCATCAATCCATGCAGCATTCTTCACACCTACTCACACACAACCTCAGAGTCCTCAACATGGTCGGGTTAAGCCTCCAGCTGATGATCGAACTTTGCAAAGACTTTCGAATCTGCTTGGCACTCCCAATGCCCTGTCCCCCAACTGTCCCCATAGCAAGGTTTGCTGATGCTGCCTTCTGACTTCCGTTTGACAGAACTACTCCATGCTCCAAGTGGAAATTCTGTAGACTTTGCTTGGCTAGCCAGAAGCTAATACAATTGGAATCCAACCATGATTTCAGTTCTTACCTGTCTCAAGTCATACACACTTAAGACAATAGAGATAACAGTCAAGATGATGATGGCCACAGAGTATTCTATGTAACCCTGAGACAGCCACAGAGTGAGGGTGAAGGCTTGGAACACATAGAATGGATTTAAAACCTGCAGGTACAAAAATGGCACAAGTCATTTATGTGGTAGCAATCAGAATTATATCATTACTTTATATTTTTGGTTGTGAGCCTAGCCTTTAACAGCTGAGCTATCCCTCCAGCCCATATCATTACTTTATAGAACACCTTTCCATCTTATCAACATATGATGACCCCTGCTACTTAAGAATTCACTTAGAACTCAGTTAACTCAGGCAAAGGCAAGGCCAAGCACATAGAATTTGATATGGTAGAAGTAAAGTTACTCTAAGTACCCAGAGCCATGCTCAGAAATTCTCCATTCTTATTTCCAAAAATTACTACACCAGTAACAAAATCTAGCAACTTGCCTTTCATCCGTTATGTTGTGCAGCAATCTCCAGGTTAAAACCCTCTGTTTGGGGGGGAAACTTCTTGAGACATAGGATACGAATGGAAAAGTGAAACAACAGGATATTTTAGGAGGCTGGGAGGGGAGTTTACAGGGAAGTGAAACAACATGGTGTTTTCATGGTGGTGGGAGAGTGGTGGAAACACTCCATTTGACTGGAACGTGTCACCAAGAACAGACATAAACAACTAGGATAGCTTCAGGAAGTTCCTGAAACTGACTAGATTCACCAGACTCCTCCCTCCCCAAGAACTTATAAGCAGTGAAGACCGCCAAGAGTAAGCTGAGCCACTTAAAAGTCACTCTGACCAAACAACCTGGAAGAAATAAAGATCAGCCAAACTACTTGGAAGAAACACGGATCAGCCACAGTACCTGGAAAAGGTTAACACCCCCCCCCCCGCCCCCTGAGCCACTAGGAAAAGACAATTCCAACACACCGAGGTGCCTGCAATTTCTTCAGTTCACTCCAGGTTTCTAGATTTTGTGAGCTGTCACCCATGCCAGGGTGGGGTTTTGTTGGTGTAGCTCCCTTTGAATTATTTATGCACTCATAAGTAATCCCTCACCCATATTCCTGTAAGTAACCCTAATCAAACTAATGGGTTCACAAAATCGGATTTTGGTGTTGTAAATAGTTTGATCTGTTGTCAGTTCCCTAACTGAGCTGAGAAGACGTTTGCTCCTGTCTGCCCAGGAATAGTGTCACACAACCCCATAATGGAGGAAAAGCATAATTCAGTCTCATCTTAAAAATCATAGGTTTATCTTTCACGTTTTCTCATGCTACAGACTTAGATTAATTGTGCTATGAAAATGGAAGATTCTTCTTTTGTCCAGGCTATTTTAATGTAGCATATTCTTTCTGTCATGGGTCGTAGGAAGATCTTTTTAGAGGCAGTAGAATCAGTGTCCTCCTCCCCTTGAGCCCAGAAGGACCCTGAGCAGCAGTGACTGAAGGGACTCGGACCTGCTGAAGCATAGTGAGCATGGCCCTAGCAGGCCTTGACCTTCTCCCCAACTCCCTCTGCCTGGCTAGAAAAACCAATTAGAATACATTCCTAAAGTCAGCCACCAAAGTCTGTTCCCTTATTTGGCCACTTCCTCCTCTTGAGGCTGACACCAAGGTCCAGCTATCAAAGTATTGAAGTTCGGCAATCAAAAGTCCCCTTTGGCTCACCTAATAAACATGCCCAATTAAAATTAAACACCTCATTCTAACGCACGGTTTCTCCTTGTACTTTTATGAACCATCATTTGCCTATGGATCACTGTCTGCTCTTCTCTATCCAGAGACCATTCTTTGTCCCTTCAGGGCAAATACCCTTTCTCTCTCTCCCTTGCACCCTTTCTCTTCTCTCTTGTCCTCTGTCTCTTGTCTTTGTCCCTTATCCCTGCCCTCTGTCCCTCTAGGGCAAACAAATCTCCCTTATGCTGAGAACTTGGCTTTGGGGGTCCTGAACCCATACTCTTCTTTTCAGTGGCTTTCCCAAGGATTTAGCAAACACCGCGGAGGACGGTGTCACCAGCGCCAAAGCTGATCAGCCACAGCAGGCACACGTGTCTCCATAACACCTCCAGCTCTTTTATCCCCCCCCCCTCCACACACACACACATTTCCCGCTTTGGTCTTACTGGTTCCTATGAATGGCTACAGCAGAGGGCTGGGATGGAGCTGAGTTGTAGAACATGTCTCTAGCATACCCAAGGCCCTGGATCAACCTCAGTACCCCCAAATAAATAAACACAACGATTACAACAGAGAGAACAAGTCTTAGGAAGGAAGTAAAGGAAGGTTCCACAATGCAGACAGGCAGCAAGAATGAGAGAGCCCACTAAGAGGAAGTGGATTCCCTTCCTGAGGAAGGGCCCTTTATCATCCTTATAAATCAGACAAAATACTGGCTAAAACCAGGGTTACTCTTTCCAGCTGCTACTGTCTGTAATTATCTCACACACTGAATAAAATTCCACTTTGCTCCTAACAATGAACTGGTAGCTGCTTAATAAGTTAATAAAGTTACACATTAAGGGTTTCTCAAGCCTTGTGGATATTATTTATAAATTTAAAAGGCTTTTGTTTCTTATTATCCCCATCTCAATTGCTTTACTTACAAATTATAGCTCTTGAGTTCACTTGGCACAGAATGCTCTAATTATAGATTATGTACTAATGATAACACGATTCTGAATTTATAGAAATACAGTACAAAATTGCTCAAATATTTCTTCTGAAAAAAAAACAGCAGCAGCATAATTAATTTAATCCCCTTATTCAATATCCTTTCAAATTAAATGTGAAGTAATTTGCCCCACCCCATCCCACCCCTTTAATTTACTAAGGTTCTGGTTGATATGTGCTAAGAAATACAGACACCTTTGAAAAGGATCAAACTGATACTTTGGAAAGTACTTAACAGTTTTCAAATGCATTTTGGGAGCGGTTCATAAGGCAGCCAGCCTCTCCATAGCTGGGGAGGCTGTGGCCATGCGGGCTGGAAATAAACACACGAGAATGCTATGCATCCACTCCCTTTTGCTGGGAATACAACACTACTCTAAACACTAATGCTGAAATAATAACAGCCTGATGTTTGCTCCAGAAATAGAACAATGGTGATAATATTTGATATTAGACAGATATGGCCATTCTCTGAAACAAAAATGACCATTTTCAAGGGTTAGAAAGAGACTAAAAATATGCTTGGCTGGCAGGATGGCTCAATGGGTGAAGCCTGGGGGACCTGAGTTCAATCCCTGAAATTCACATGAAGGTGGGAGGACAGAGTGGACTAGAAGTTGTCCTCTGACTCCACACATACGAGCCTTGGTATCCCATGTGCCTATTCCCACATCACACATCATGTGTAAACACAGATACATATAATCATATTTAAATAGATTTAAATTGTGGAGCATCATGTGGAGCCACAGAGCAGCAGCCTGGATCAGAGATAAAGATAGCACAAGGTAGGAGCCCGATGCTAGAGGAAGTAAGGACAGAAACATCTCCCAGAAGAGACAGGGCACTGAAACCAGGGCTGTGGTGAGAAGTAGAGGTACCACAATGCTTCCTGCTCCAGCGTGGAGCTGAAAACAAAGCCAGCTGAGGGTGGGGTGGGATAGAACAGAGTCTGTGGCACATCCATGACCTGCACCAAGCCCCACACAGACCAAAGCGCCTAAGTCACTAAGGGATGCACACTGTTGCCTCCAATATGGGCTTGGCTCTGACCCAATAAAACACTGGGGACCAGATGGAGGCAGATACAAAGCCATCAAGGAGGGACAGCAAGCTCAGAGAGTGAAAGGGAGAAATTTTCCCACTCAAGGTTGACTTACACGAAAGTACTAACAAACATGTCAAAACACACAGTATTATTTTTAAAAAAACTAATAAAAAGTCACACTTAAGAAGACAGAAATGGTAAATTAATATGTAAAGGACTAAAATGATAAATTTCAAAATCGTGGCATCATGGATACATCCTGTGACTCTGTGGTTAGACTGAATGCTTATGGCCTCTCCAAAAGAATGCCCTCGTTGAAGTGCTGCCCCCCAGTGTGGTGGTATTTGGAAGTGGGGCTTTGAGAGATAATTTGGGTTACATAGGTCCTGAGAGGCAGAGATCAGACCTCCTTCATGAGAAGACACACGGAAAGGCTGATGGTCCACAGGTCAGCAAGAGCCCTCAGCGGGGTCTGAGTATACAGCCCTCAGACCTGGATTTCTGTCCAGTCTAGGTGATTGTGTTGTAGTACCCTGAGCAGATTATGGTGCCACACGACTACAGAACAGAACAGAAACTTTAGACAACCAAGGAAACGGGATATTATAAAACAGGAATCTGGCTCTCACCAAGAAGTGTATTTAAACCTTAAAAAGGGGGTGTTGGGCCAGTGGGGAGGTTTAGCAGGCGAAGCTGCCAAACCTGATCACCTGGGGTTGATCCCTGAGACTGACTTGGTGGAAAGGGAGAGCTGACTCCTGTGAGCTGTTCTCTGACCGGCACGTGCATATATGCACACACACATGACTATGTCCCCATCACATAGACAGACAGATGATAGATAGATAGATAGATAGATAGATAGATAGATAGATAGATAGATAGATAGATAGATTAGATAGATAGATAGTAATTGAAAAGGATCAGTCAGAAATTCTGATTGTGTGTGTGTGTGTGTGTGTGTGTGTGTGTGTGTGTGTGTGTGTGTGTGTGTTTGCTGAGATTAAATAAAGCCGAAAAGAAGCATTAATAAACAGAAAAAGTACAGGCTAGCGTTGTGTCAGGCAGCAGCCTCATGAAACACAGATAGCATTCCCATTCCGAGGAATGCAAGTGTTATTTCCAATCCCTTTGAGGTCAAGAAACTCAGAGGCAGATTCTCTTTTCCAAAAAGAAGAAATTGATCTAGTTACCTGTTTAACCAGCAGCTTCCATACAGGCTGGATCTCCACCTCGATAGCGTTGGGCCCACACACTAACCTTCTGTGGGAGATTGACCATCTGTTAGTGTCAGCCTGGAAGCCCAGGGACAAGCGAGCAAGGCAAGCTGACCACAAGCCCCCCACCTCTCTGTCCTTTATGCATCTTGTGCCTTAATAACCACTGTAGCCTGATGTCATCCTAAGCCATGAATACATTCTTAAGACAAGAGTTGCTACATGATGAACAAAGTTGGTTTTTCCTGCTTTAAACTGTCTTTAATACAACTCAGTTAGTCAAAATAAATTAGAGACATTTAAAAAAAACAATTTGATTGCATCCTAAGAGCAGCTAAAAAGACACAGGTCTGAAGATATTCCTAGATTTATCAGGCATTCAATTTACCCAGAGACATCAATGATGGTGTCTGTCTTACCCTGGCATCTTCCAGAGGAGGTCCCTCATATGTGAATGCATTCAGTGAGCCAGAAAAATAACAAATTCCCAGGAAGATGCTCTATGATTGTCACTTGCGGGTGTCTGCTTTCCACACAAGGTACAAAACACATGTCCACCAAAAAGAGAAGCCCTCAGGTTTGGGTTGTGTTTTATAATTTTTAAAGTTTTTGCAAAAGATTCACTTGATCCTTACAGCATTCTATAGAGTTCTGAAGGGTGAATCTTACCAATAAGAAAAGTTGTTCGCTGTGGACCTTTAGCCCAAGGGTCACACAGCTAATATTAATTATACCTATGGAACATTTAAGTGTCATATTAACAAACATGGTGTATGATCACTGTTTATAAAGAAAACTGAAGTTCGAGCAAATTAAGTAACTGTCTCAAGTTCTTAGAGCCAGCAAAGAAGGCTACTCCCAATCATGGCCTCCATGACATCACTTCACAACTCCCCTTCTACAACTATCAACAGGGAGAGCCTGCATGGGGGGCGGGGGGGGGGGGGGGGGGGGGGGGGGCTTTGGTCTTGCTGTCCTATAACACAGAGCTGACTGAGCTCAAGTTGACCTGACTTTCAAAGCATGTTACACCAACTTTAGTTATTCAGTGCCACAGACAGGGATGGCTTACATTAAGGTCTTCTAACTCTGTAATGTGGGGGGACGTGAGGCTCAGGGGATGAAGAGGCAGAGAGGAAGAGGAGATACACTGCTGTGTGAATTCATGAACCCTAGATCTCATTCTGGAACCTCAAAAGACTTGAACTCAAGCCAGGTTGAGTCTGTGACAATAATGTTATTGGCCAATTGTCAGAACCCCTCAGGACCCAAGGCTTGGACCGTCTACCTCTTCCCCCACCCCAGTTCTCACCCCCCACATAGTATGCTCGCCCCACAGTCTTCCCTTTGTAAATGCTACTCAACCTTTGGTCAAGCCAAACCTGACAACCAAGCCCAGTGGCTTGGAACTGTGCAAGTGAGCACACCCAGCTCCACACTCGGCAAGCTTCTGCCCTTGTTATTCCTTCTTCCTAGATCAGTTTCCTCGCATCTTTGCATGGCTCACTGCCTTGTTCCATACAGGCTTCTAAAAAGTAATTCCTTCTTGAGACCTTCCATAACAATCCCATTTAAAACAGTCCCTCCCCTGGGCCAGGGGGTATGGTGTCATGGTAGAGCATTTGCTTAGCATATGCAAGACCTGGGGTTTGCTCCTTATCACTGGGGGGCAGGGGAGAACCCTACCTAATTTTCCTTAACCTACTTTATGACTGTCTAAGCATAGACCTTATTTGTATGTATGTGTGTTCATGCGTACATGTGTGGGCTGGTGCATGTCCATGTCCACTTGTGTAAGGGGAAGCCATAGGAAAGCTCTTAGTGTCTTTCCTCGGAGGCTGTCCACCTGTTTTGTCAGACAAGATCTCTCATGGAACACACCATGTGGACTAAGCTGGCTGACTAGTAGTCCTCAGTTCACGCCTCTAACACCTCCCAGCACTGGCATTACAAGTAAGCACCACCAGCCATGGTAACTCCTTTCACGTGGATTCTAGAGATCACACCCCAGTCCTCACGCCTCTGAGGCAAGCGCTTCACCAACTGAGATACCTCCACCGCCCATACCTTATTTTTCCAATGTGTTAACTGGCTGTTTCCACCATTATAATGTAACCTTTTGCAGGACACTAGTAAATCCCACAGAGCTAAAAATAGAGCCTAACGTATACAACACAGTCAAGAATCATCTGTTTAAATGAATGGATAGCCAAATTGGAGGTGGGAAGAAAACCTTGGTTCCCTCATCTGAAAAAAAAAATGAACTTGATAAACTATGTCTAATAAAACTGTGATCAATATCTTAGTAGGACAAATATGCAAAGCAGTTGTCGCAAGTGTGCCTAGGACATGGCAAATCCCAGATTAATGGCAGCTGTCTTTGAAATATGACTGTCTGATACATTTAAATACTTTTTTTCTCTCCTTCAGCAACACTTTTTTTAAGTAACATCACTTTACCTCATTAAATTAAAACTTATATTTACATGTTTTCCTCCTCAAATCGCTTCAACTGTTTTTAAAGGCAGAAGGAGAGCTTTTCAGATCTGGTTTTTTCTAGGATCTGGGGCTAGACATAGAGAGTATGTTCCCAAAAATGTTGGAGTTAATGAAAATCATGGGGACCCATGTCTAGAATACTTTCTCCCTGGACAAGGTTCAAAACCTCAATGCACAGCTAAAGATATACTGAGACTACAGAAACCCAATTGAGAACGCAGCTGAGGGTCCGACAGCCTTGGTTTCTCTGTCTGGTGAACTTGCTCCTGAAATTGCCATTGAGGGAAGCTCCAGTCCTGGAGCAAGGAAGGATGGGATGGTGAGGATCAAGCCTTGCCTGTGATTGACGCTTTGGGACTCATCTGGGTCGTGATAAAATACCAGCCAGCCTGTTCTTCACCACTTTGTCAGGTCTACTGTCCTTTGCCAAGAGAAATTCTAGGGTGTTTAGAGACTGTGTACCCATATCAATCTCACAGCTAGCCACAGAGAATTCTCGTGAATGTTGACCAATGGTGGAGCAACCAGAAGATTAGACTTGATGCCAAGTCACACAGGGAAAGGTCAAAGTTCTATTCCACCACTAAAGATCTGATGAGGTGGCAGAGAAGAGAGGCTGAGATCATTCTGTGTGGCCTCACCAAACAGTGTAGGCCAAACACAGCTAAGTAGTTTTGCCTAACATCCATCTGTCACTATCCATTAGGGAAGAGGCTGCTGTGATGACAGACAGCCCCTTCTCAGAGGATGGGTCTTGACCAAGTCCACAGCTGAGAACTCTGGAAGGGAATTTCATGCTCTCTGTGGTTTATGCTTCTGGGTTCACAAGGGATTTCCTCCAGTTCTGGGATATTCAGATCTTGTGGAATGTATAATTCTGAAATGCCAAGTGTGGATGGTTAGGAGTATTTTCCTTTGAGAGATAATCCATTCCCCCTTTCAATTAGCTTGGTTTTTTTTCCTTTACTGATTCAAATGAAAACATCAATATATCTCTCAAAAAGAATTGCTAGAGAGCTTGTGTGAGGTTCCGGAGCCCTGTAGACCGGAGTCGGGGTCCTTATCAAGGAAGTAGGAATGAGCTACAGTCACTGGTTCACTTCTCAAACTTTATGGCAGTGCTCAGCTTTGCCCACTCTTTCCATTCAGTGTCTCTGGCGGGAGAGATTCCTACAGTTTCCCAAGGAGTCGAGGCCAAGCAGAAGATTCCATCGTGACTCACTTCTATAGGAAAGGAAAAGTCTACTGGCCAGTTACTCACTCCCTTGAAACTCCTGCTTTACAAAGGGAGGGGGATCTAAGATGCACAGGCTATGATACCCTGAGCCTGGGATTTGGATATAATTCTATAGTACAATAAATGGGTTGGTCCTAGAAATTCCCCATTACAAAACACTACAGGTATGTTTTGAGAGATTGTTTCCTGGAAGAAATCTCCCTGCTTGTTAATGAAACAGTGATATAAAGAAACTACATGTCTCTAAATGATGTGTAATAACAGTTGTTTAGTTTTTCATCCTGGTCCTCATCTGTTGTCTGTCCATTTCTTTCATTTCCTAATGAAATGTGCTTCGGTTTCTAAATTACAAGCTTCCATATAGTCGGGAAAAGTCTATTGATACAGGATTTTGGCTCTCAGTATGAGCTAGTGAGGTGCTCCCAGGAGTCTCTGCTGATGGAGCATGCCTGAGCATCCCATGTATGAACAGCATTCCATGTACAAAGGCCCAGATGGGAAAGAACCAGAAAGGGTATAAGGAGTTGTGGTGAAGGTACATGGAAATCTAGGCATCATCTCCATTATTTCACCTGCAAGGCTCAGGACCTACACTAATTGCTGTCTTCACAGGGTTTTGCTCTAAGATGAGCACTGGATTTATTTGGTTTTATACTTCCAACAGACCCACGCTCTCAAAACTGTGGGCCTGAAAATTCCAACTTATTAAAAAGAGACCATTGATCTCAATTTACTTGATTTTTATCAACTTGTATTTTAAATGAAATATAAGTAGTATTTTAAGATAACCTACTAACTCCTAGTTGAATATTAGGAATTGAGATTATGTTTTTAGCTTCTAGAGGAATTAAGGCTTCTCTCCCATCCTCCAACAAGCCATTACTTGCTCATTTCCAGAAAGAGGAGGAGGAGGCTGAGTGTGTGTGATTGGACCATTCTCTCAGAGTGCAACTTTCAAAGGCATAAGAGTAACTGTTATTTCTCTTTCAAGTTTTGCTCCCATCAAGACCTGAAGTGTACCACAGTAAAGTCGCATGTTAGTTCCAACTTCTCTTTTCTCTCCTCATCCATTGGCTTTCCATCTTTCTTTCCTGTCTGTTGCCCATCTTTTCATGAAATGGCTTCTGCTAGGTGAAGCTTGCATTGGTGTCAAATATAACTCTTTAGCTGCTCATCCCTCACATTCCTTTTTGGGGTCCCCAGCAAGCATGCATGCTTTTCCTCAGAAGGGTAGGACAGGTTAGTTGAGTTCGGCCCTGAAGAACCACAGAATCAACTGGGAGAGGCTCCTCCCAGCTTCTTTGGTGATGCCACATTGATGACACAAACTGGCTGTGGAATAAATATTCCCACTTACAGACTGGCAAACACTGGCTGTCAACGTTCTTATCTCTTCCTCAGTCACCAGTGAGGTGACTGTCTGGAGTTTCCTGCCAGGCGGTTACTTTTCTGTTTTCCAGAGCCTAAACAAAGAGTCAGGAGCCGGATGGGTGAAGGTGAAGGAGTACCCAAAGCCTGTCCTAGGAAGAAAGACTAGCGTGGATCAGGTAGATGTGGTGTTTTCATAGGACCCCATTCTTGTGAAATGAATCACTCAGCTGTCCGTGAACCTGTTCAGGATGGCTACGATGATGCAACGCTGAGTCCCGCTCCTGAGAAGTGGGGATTGGAGCGAGCCAGTTCCTAAGTCCATTTACTTGTACATTTTTGATGCCTTCTGGCACTTTTTCTCCTGGGTAAAATCAACTCTCCTGGTGGTCTGATAAGCTTTTGCTGCTGAAAAGTGAGAATTACGAACATCCTTCATCCGCTCGTTGCCAGGCTGCTAGGAGCCCCACAGAGAAGTGTGCATTTAGATGCCGTGGCCTGTCCTCCTGTCAGGTTTCCGCCCTCCCTCCTTGCTGCTTCTCTTGCAGTGAGCTCTTGTGTTTCAGAGAAAGCGAGCTCAGCTTCAGTTATTGAATTTGCATGCCGTCCAATCAATCAGTCACTTTTAATTTCTCTGGAAAGGCCCCCAGCTTACTCTAAGGAATGCAGGGGGGGGGGATGTGCCACATCCACCGACTCTCTTTGTCCTTCACTCTGGCATGCCCACAAGATAAAATATGCCTCTGCTTATGAGATTATTTCTCAATTCTTCATGTTTGGGATACCGTACTCTGTCTTGCTTATTAGATTGTCAAGTTCTTTATTGTATGGACCACATTTAAATTTAATTATGTATGATGTTTATTAAAGCTTGGCATTTGATAAATAAGGACAAATGTGAGCTAGCTACCCCAATGGGGAATCTTTCTTGTGGAAATGGTTTCTTGTGCAGAATGTCTCTACATCTATCATTAAGATCTCTAAAATGCTCTAGATCAATCCTCTAAACATTCCGCGCTAAGTATTACTAAGTTTCATTTTAATGACTTTGAAAAGTTTCGTATCTCAGCGTATTAAACATTCATCTGAAATCTTATATAACGATAGCACTTCTAAGACATTTTGCAGTATTGTCTGGTGCAGTTGCCTGCTTCGTTTCTCGTGGTATTTCCACAAAGGAAAAACGGAAACCAGCACTTCATGATTCTTAGACTTTGTATAAGTGTTCTGGTGGTGGGCAAACCAGCAGGATGGCTCAGTGAGTAAAGGCTCCGTGCTGCCAAACCCGCTAACCTGAGCCTGATTCCTGCGGCTCACGTGGTAGGACAGAGAACTCCCTCCTGCAAAGTGTCTTCCGAACACACGCTTTGTAGCGCTTATGTTACCACACGCATGCACGTAAAATAAATGAGTATTTAAAATGTCATGAAGAGGTAGCGTGAGGCACTTGCTAGAATCCCAGAGTTCTTTGTCTCGAATGTACTGTGTCCCTCCCACAGAACTCGGAGAGCTGTGGGAGTAGAGCCCAGAAGCAGTCATTCAAACAATACATGTTTCTTCTTAGTGTGACAGTTGATGCTTCTGGTGGATCACAGTGAAGTCTGGCAAATAATATCCCTAAAAGTGGCTGAGAAACTAAAGGGATTGTGGAGATTATCGGAAGGGCTCAGCTGTTTCCTTTGGGGCTCGCCAGGATCGGCCATTTCAAACAGGAGCTGAGGGAAACAGGGACTTTTCCCCCTGGCAGGGAACATTAAGTGAACATCTCCTCCTCATCTCTGGCAGCCTACAGACACTAGCCTCATGATCCATCCACACCCCACGCCCATCAACGACTATGTCTTTCTCTTTAGATCACTGGTCCCTTGCAAAGTACCTGGCGTATCAGAGACACACAGATAATAATAAATCAGGGAATACCATCATTTATTTGTTTCTTCTGCGAAACACCTGTTGAGCTCCTCTAGCTGGCCCAAACCTGACAACCATGGCTCTGCCAGGCCTTGCCCTTCCCCCATTCCCTCTGCCTTGCTGACTTTCCCAAAGCTAGCCACCAAGGTCTATTCCATTATTTGGCCACTTCTTCCTCTTAGCCTGACCACCAAGGTCCAGCTATTAAAGTATTGAAGTCCAGCAATCAAAAGCCCCCTTTTGGCTTCCCTAATTAACATGCCCAAACAAAATTAAACACCTCATTCTAACATGAAGTTTCCCCCCTTCCCTTTATAAACAGCCATTTTCCTATGTGCCATGTGTTTCTCCTCTCTCTCCAGAGGTGGTCCTCTGTCCCTCGGGTGCAAATCTTTGTGCTGAGAACTTGATCTTGGGGTGTCTTGCACCAACAACTCTGAGGTCCTTTCAGTAAGGAAGGGAACCACACACTCCAGGATGTTCCCCCTCAGGCCCTGGATTAGGCACAAACTGTTACCTAAATGCGTGTTTTCACAGAGATTCTCTATTAAGTGGGGAAGAAAAATGAAAGTGAGTGCTTTCTAACTCAGGCAGAAAACAGCAGCAAATGACCTTGCAGGTGCGATTTTTAAGAGGAGGAAGAAAAACGGGGAGGTCTGGGTTAAAATGGGCTAGGATGCGGTGGTATGTTTTGATTGAGTATATTAATTAGGTGAACCAGTGAGGGTGTTTGATTGCTGGACCTCAATACTTTGATAGCTGGACCTTTGTGACCAGCCTTAGGAATGAGTCTGGCATAGGAAAGTGTCCAAATAAGGGACTAGAGCGTGATGGCTAGCTTTAAGGATGCAATCCATGGTTTACAAGGGAGAGGGGAGGGGGAAGGGCAAGGCCTGCCAGCGCCATGCTTGCCATGGCCAGGCCTGCTGGAGCCCTTCTCATGAGTCCAGGACTATTCTAGGTACCATATACACAACACCGGATAACACAGCCAAGTCAACAACAATAAAATGGTTATCTCCACAGCTGCTTGTTCACAGTAAAGCGCGATCTGAACAGTGTCTTTCTGGTTCTCCGTCAATTTGGGGGGATTAAGAAGCCAATGGTTATGAAATGACTCAAGATTATTATAAAGCCTATTCTACAAGCCTGAGATAAAGGGCTGGATTTTACTTGATTTGTTATGCTCTTTTGGTGTCTTTTTAATAAGTTTGCCTAAGAAGAGAATTTACAATGTCTTTCTGATGCCAAGAAATGCCATCAAAGCCGTGTGCCAGCAGCACGCCAGTGAGGGTCCGTTTGATACTTCACGTCAGCAGAGTTACCCTCAGTAAGCATCGCGAATGTACCTGACCTCCTGTTCTTCACTGGTCAGACCCAGTCCGAATGTATGGTGGATGTCGAAGCAGGAGTTACTGTCTTCCAGCAACCTAGGACGTGGTTGGTATAGGAACCACACATCAGTTTCCAGTGCCAGTGAGCCAGTCTTCTTCAGCCGTGTCCCCAGGTAGTGGCGAGAAAAGGCTGTACTTACCCAACTTTCTGAAACCGCTTCTCCAAGAAATCCCACACGTACCTGATTTTCTGCACTTGGATGCATTGCAGCTGCAACCACAAGCGGGAAGGAGCGGGTGTCATTCACAGGGGAAAGCTCGTCAAATGGGGACTTGGTCAACTGTCCCCATGTGGGTCTCGCACCTGGCTATCATTCCAGCCGAAGCATGTGATAGTCAGGGCTCTAACCGACAGACACACGCTCTATTTTGTCTCCACCAACATGCCGTAAGATCCCACACCACGTAAGGTCTCTTACTTTTAATTCTGGCTTCATTACAGCTTGGTTTATGACCGAATGGCGGTCTGCCACCAGAGGTTCCGCTGGGTTCTTGCTTAGAGGGAACTTTAGTGTGGATAAGTGGAGGCAGAAGACTTTTTTCCTCATGTACCTTCGAAATTCGTCCTTGAAAAGTCAACAAACAGAGGGGAAAAAAAATCTCAGACCTCAGTCAGAATGCAGATTCTTAGGACCTTTCTAGATTTGGCAGAATCAGAAATGCAGTTAGTAGAGTCAACAGTCTGTTCCAATAAGCCTTCCAGAGGCTTCTGATATGCACTGAAGTTTGAGAAATACTGGACATGGGGGTCGGGGTGGGGAAAGCTTTGTAGGAAAGCATTATGTCTAGAGATTTTCCAAGATGATTGTATTTCTTTTTTACTTTATTTGTTTATTTATTTTGAAACAGGGATTCACTGTAAATTCTAGACTGGCGACAACCTCTTGGCTAGCCTGCCTTAACTCCCCAAGTGCTGGGACCACAAGTGTGCACCGCCACACCAGGCTCCAGCTACCATGAAATGATTTCTACAAGCTTAAATTATCTAGTATACACCAAAGCATGTATTTTTGTAAACTGAACATTCCCACATTGTGTGGTCTCTGAGAGTTGGAACAATGACAGCCACTGCCCAGGCAATGGCCAAGGAGCAACATCCATCATCAGCCTAAAACACCAGAGACTCCCCCAAGCTGAAGTGAAGGATGTGGCAGCATCCCTGGGCAGGACAAGAGATAACATGCAGCTTGTAAAAGTAGTCTTTGCTTTTCTTGTTCTGGCCTAGCTAAACTGTTTGAACAGATGAGATCTTCCCTCCGGAATACTGACTAGTCATTGCTAGACCACAGATGCAATGTGTGAAAATAAGATCATAGTATCATAGTACTTTTTTCTTTAAGATTCATATTTAAATCTTTAATTGAGATAAGGTATTTGCATGTATTGATGGGTCTTGTATAGCTATTTCCTCTGAACTGAAACATTCTCTCCAGCCAGACAATGGTGGCGCACGCCTTTAATCCCAGCACTAGGGAGGCAGAGGCAGGTGGATCTCTGTGAGTTTGAGGCTAGCCTGGTCTATAGAGTGAATTCTAGGAGAGGCTCTAAAGCCACACAGAGAAACCCTGTATCAAACCCCCACTCCCCCACAAAAAAATTTTCTCCTTTAAGGCTCAAGAAATAAACAAAACTCACAAGTCTGAAGAAGTTCCTGAAATTTACAAGATTCTGGAGGCCCCTCCCATTGGCTGTAGAAGCACTAACAATTGCCAGAAAGAGAAGACTTTCCAACCTGCCCAGTTGTTTGCAGATAAAGCAAAGAGCTCTAAGATGGGGTGGGTTTTTCAGTGTTGCAGTACTTGTGAGTCACCCACAATCCTGTAAGTAGTGTGTGTGTGTGTGTGTGTGTGTGTGTGTGTGTGTGTGTGTGTAATATATAATACAATTCCAATAAATATACTGGTTCACTAGCTAAACTGGGGTGAAATCATTTCTTCGGTCTGTTGTTAATGAATAGACAATTATTCATGTCTCCCCAGGGACACTCCCACAGCAATGGGGTATGTAATGGATTTTAAGTATACTATACAGTATATAATGATGAAACCAGGGTAATTGGCCTCTTAAGCACTTCAGAAATTTACCGCTTCTTTTTGCTGGGAACATTCAAAACCCTCTCCACTAGCTATTTTTACAATTTGCTCTCAGCCACAGTATCCTATGATGCTATGGGATATTAGCAGGTAGTCCCCTATTCAACTGTAGCCTTGTACCTACTAATCATTTCGCCCCTCTCTCTCCTTCTCCTTCTCAGGCTCTGGTAATCATTATTCTATAATGCCAACTTCATAGCTTCCATGTGTACGTGAGAAGCTGCAGTATCTGTCCTGCTGTGATGATCATGGCATTTGAAATGGATAACAGAAAAGTACTCACTGTTGTCCTCAACAAAACTGTGTCTGCTTCTTGCAAAGGGCATGGGATGCAACTGGTCCAAACCCACCACTCAGGCCTCCAATAGAACATCAGCTGAAGGGCCCCAAGAGTCAGGATGGCTGAGACAAAGCACAGGGCTCTCCGTAGAGTCTGGGTATGGTAGCCAAACACCTCCTGAATAAGAAATAGAGCATCCCATGTTTCAGTAGTCACATTAACATCATTTTGATTCTAGGGATCCATGCTTTAGATACAGAGTTATTGGATGAGAGAGAAATCTGGCAGCAGTTGGTAGAATCAGGTTGACTGCAGCTGGCAGCTGATATAATAAAAGGAAAGAGAAACACAAGCCCTCCTACTGCCCTGCCAAGTGAAATTAAACATTAGATGGAAGGGAAAGGAAAGATCTACCTGCTTCTGTGCATTTGTAAGAGGCACCTCAAGTGTTTATAACATGCTTCATGTTTTGAGGCAGATTTATTTTGTTTATATATTAAAGAAATTGTTAATATTAAAGAAAGCAATGGAGACAGACATGACCCACAGATATCCACCTTTTTCTATGCTCACATTTGTTTATAATATTAACTGAATGTGATTGAAAGCATGAATAAATGTTTTCTAAACCAACAAAATGTAAATTGATGGGCTATCTGCAGACATGAAAGGTTTTTAAAGGGTCAGTTGCACTTATTCTTTTTAAAATTATGTTTTTATTATTTAAAACAATTTTAAATTTAAGGATATTTTGATCATATTCTTCCCCTCTCTCAAGTCCTTCCAAATCCTCTCCCCTCCCTAACCATTCAGCTGTAAGTTCTTTCCTCAAAAAAACGAAAACCCAATACAACAATAAAACTAAGGAAACAAAATAAAACCACCAGTTCCCCCCAAAAACACCAATCTGTAACCAATAAAAGCACACACACACACAAAAACCCTTGGAGTCTATTATATGTTGGTGAACTAATACTGAACATGAGGCCTGTCCTGGTGTGGTTGATGTCATTTTATTGGAGAAATGACCCATTGTCATCCTATTAGATAAAACTGATTTTCCCTCTCCCAGAAGGAGTAAGTGATGTTTCAGTTGTTAACCTTTACACTACTAATTCTGTTTTCATTCATTCACTTTTTAAATATAAGAAAATAAAATATTATAAGATAAAACAAAAACTATTACATCAAAGTTGGGAAAGACAAACCAACAGAGGTAAAAGAGCCCAAGAGAGGGCACAAGATGAAAGACTCACTCATTTGCACACTCAGGAATCCCATAAAAGCACTAAACTAGAAGCTGTAATATGCACTCAGAGGACCTGGTGCAGACCTGTGCAGGCCCTGTGCATGCTTCCTCAGTCTCTGTGAGTTTATAGGAGCTTTGCTCATGTTGATTTAGAGGGTCTTGTTTTCTTGGTGTCCTCCATCCCTCTGGCTCTTACACTTTTTCTGACTCCTCTTCCACAAGGTTCCCAGAGCTCTGAGGGGAGGGATGAGATGGAGACATCCAGTTTAGGGCTGAGTGTTTCAAGATCTCTCACTCTCTGCATAATGTCTGGCTGTGGGTCTCTGTATTTGTTCCCATCTGCTACAGGAAGAAGCTTTTCTGATGTTGGCTGATAGGGCACTGATCTATGAGTATAGCAAAATATCATTAGGAGTCATTTTATCACTATAGTTTTTCTTCTTTTTTTTTAGACAAGTATTGTTTTATTTTATCCTAGATCCCTGGGATATCTAGTCTCAGGTTCTTGGTTGCCCAAGCAGTTTGGGATGGGTTTCATCATGTGGAGTGGGTCTTAAGTCAAATCAGTTACTAGTTCATTACTCATGAAACTGAGAAGTTTCTGAATAGCAAAGGACACCATCATTAGGACAAAGCAGCAGCCTACAGAATGGGAAAAGATTTTCACTACACATCTGGTAGGGGGCTAATATCCAAAACATATAAGGAACTCAAGAAAATAGATATCAAGAAAACAAATAACACAATTAAAAATTGGGTATAGATCAAAACAGAGAATTCTCAATAGAGGAAAAGCTCAAATAGCTGAGAAACACTTAAAGAAATGTTCAGCATCCTTAGCCACTGGGGAAATGCATCAAAACTAATGTGAGACTTCATCTTACACATGTCAGAATGGCTAAGATCAAAAATACAAATGACAGCTCATGCTGGCAAGGATGTAAGCAAAGGGAATACTCCTCTATTACTGATGGGAGTGCAAACTTGTTCAGCCACTATGGAAATCAGTGTGGTGGATCCTCAGGAAGATGGTAAATTCAATCTACCTCAAGATCAAGCTATACCACTCTTGGGCATTTACCCAAAGGATGCATCATCCTATCCCAGAGACACTTGCTCAGCAATAGTCATTACTGCTGTATTTGTAACAGCCAGGAATTAGAAACAACCTAGATGTCCCTCAGCAAATGAATGGATAAAGAAAATATGATACATTTACACAACGGAGTATTACTCATCCACTAAGGGAAAAAGGGACATGATGAAATTTGCAGGCAAATACATGAAACTAGAAAAAAAACCATCCTGAGTGAGGTATCCCAGACTCAGACAAATATGGTATATATTCGCTTATATGAGGATATTAGCTGTGAAGTCAATGATAATCAAGCTACAATCCATTAGATCCACAGAGGATAGGTTGTAGAATAAGGGACTAGACCAGTAGTTTTCAACTTGTGGGCCACAACCCTTTGGGGGTTAAACGACCCTTTCATAAGGGTCATATATCAGATATCCTGCATATCACATATCGACATTACAATTCATAATAGTAGCAAAATTACAGTTATGAAGTAACAATGAAATAATTTTATGGTTGGGGGTCACCACAACATGAGGAACTGTAGTAAAGGGTTGTCACATTAGGAAGGTTAGGGAATGCTGGACTAGAGGGAACAGATCTCGAAAGGGCAATAGAATAGATAACTATGGATGGGGAGCTGGAATGGGAGGAATGAGTGGAGAGAGGGAAGGCAGTAGAGTTTGTGGGAGGCAACCCAGGCAGAGACAGGTAATATTAAGGGTCATTTGAGGGGTAGTATGAAAACCCAATACAGTGGAAACTTATGAAAATATATACATATATGGAGGTAATCTAAATGAAATGGTCAAATATTGGAGAGACAAAGACCAAACTAGATATCTGCTGTCACCAAATGAAGCTTCCAGTAGTGAGATTGGATTACATCTAATTGGGTTGTTGGCCAAAGGGCCCGATGTGGCTCCATAAACAACCCAGGCTGTTGCCAAAATTATAAATTGCTCTCCACAACCTGACAGCAAGGCCCCAATGCTGATGACAACATCTACAAACTCATTGAAAATGGAGATGTCTCCAGGTGGTGGTGGTGCACCTTTAATCCAAGCACCTGGGAGGCAGAGGCAAGCAGATCTCTGAGTTCAAGGCCAGCCTGATCTACAGAAGGAGTTCCAAGACAGTCAGAGATACACAGAGAAACCCTGTCTCAAAAAAAGGAGGAAGAAAAGAAAAGAAAAAGAAGGTGTCTACATAGTGCCTTCACCCTTACATTCCAGCACCTTTGATAAAGAAAGGTCCACTGCATGTTCTCAAAACAGAAATGCGATAATCACCAAGCCAGCCACAAAACTTTTATACACAATGTTGTACTGTCTACAGTTACTTATTCTTAGAATAACATGCTGGGGTATTTGTACCTTTAATAATAGGTTGGCTAATATTTGTCATTAATTAAATGAATTTGAGATTTGTTTTAAGAGGAAATAGCCTTGGTAATTTAAATCCAAATTTCAGTCTCTACCCTTTTCAATGAGGGTTCACAGTATGGTTTTATACATTGCGGAAAAACAAACTTTTAGAGTACTTTGAAATGCCTGAGGGACACTAATTATTACAGTTGGATTACAAAGTGTCACCCTACAGAAAATGCTCATGTGCTGACGACTTTGTTTTCTGGAGCACTGTTGAGAGACAATTGGGTCATAAATGTATGAACTTCATCAATTGATTAATGCATTGGTGAGTTCTTAGCCGAGAGGGCTGTTGGGGAGCAGAGCCTGGTTGGAGGATGTGGGTCAGTAGAGATTGTGCTATTGAATGGTGTATGATGGTGGAGAGAGAGGAAGAGGGAGAGGAGTAGTTCTCTGACTTTCCTGGATGCCATGAGATGAGCAGGTTCACACTGACTTTCTACCATGTTCCTGCTTTGTCACAGTCACAGACTTAAAAGCAGTGGAACTAGCCAACCATGGACCAATCCTCTGAAACCATGAACCAACACCAGTCTTTCTTCCTGAAGCTTCTTTATCTCTGGTATTTTGTCACAGAAATGGAAATTCACTAACACAGAGATAATTGTATGGTGTAAGCACTATATAATGGCTTTAAGTTAACCTGGGAATTTTTTTTTGTCCAACAACTCTTAAGTTCCCATGTCCAAATCACAGAGCTGTAATATCAGCACAACAGATTTTTTTTTTTACTGTGTTTATGGAGTGTTTTTAATGACAGAACCTCTTGGGTTTTATGTCAGTTTAGATCATGCATCACATAACAAATCTCTTTGCTTAATTCTTTGGGAAAGTATTCATCTTCCATATGACCTTTTTTTTATTAGTTTTTCTTAATAACTCAGTGGTAGATAAAGAGTATAATAAGAGTTGTTGAAAGCAACCCTTAGACAGAGTAGAAAGGTCATAAGTTTACGAAGTAAGATGTAGGTTTGAGTCACTGCTCTGCTTATTATGGGTTGCATGATCTCAGGTAACTCATTCACCTCTGAAAAATTCCAGTGCAGTCTTCTGCAGAACTAGCAAGACGTGTGTCATGGAGCTGCTTTGCTCAGCCACGGCAGCTTCCGCTTGCATGCTCTGTATCGTGAGCACGAGCTGGAGAGTTCCTGTCACTGCCACACAGCTCACGGAGGGGAAGGTGCTCATGGCTGGGTAACACAGCCCTAGTTTGATATTGTTGATGAAAGGCTCTGATTTAATTTAGAAACATGCGATTTCCATAATCATACAAACATTTCCAAGATCTCTTCCTCTCCCTGTGCTCCATCTGCCTCTATAACTCCTGGTCTTACGTGTGTATTATAGGTTAATAAGACCCAAATGGCATCAATATGCCAGTTCACATGTTACATGAGTTACTTACAAACAGTCAGTG